ATAAATGAATACATCTTCACTATAATCTATAAAATATGTTCATATATATCACATTTCGATGAATAACTTACGAACATAAAATTAATGTATGTATTCATAATTACATGTATCCTTCATCTACACTTTCTTCATTATACATACCTAATTATAATTACTTAAAATTTATAACTGTAAATATGAGCTAATTGTAAGACACAGTCCAATTCTTATACTAATAACATACCATTCGGCCTAAAATTAGTAATACTGTACCCACACACACTATCAATTATCAATATTATAAAATTCGACCCAATAAACTTAACAATATACCCAATAAAATTAAAATTTTAAAAAACGTTCAAGCTTGCACATGCGTGCGGACCAGTATCCTAGTATTATTTTATATCTAAATAAATTTGTATTTTGTTTAAAAAATGTTTTTAATTTAATATAATTTTAGTTTTTTGTTGTTAATGGAAATTTTATACAGAATTTCTTTATTCTTTTATATATATGTTATTAAAATAATATTAATTTTTGGAAACTCTCTTAATTTCGAATGTTGATATGGACCAGTAAAATTTGCTCTTTTTAATTCTATGTGTACATCCTTAGAGGCATTTAGCTTCAACTTTTATTAATATAATAGCTAGGATAAGATTCTTTTGAAGTCAATTATATTATTTATTACTAAAACAAATAATAATTTTTATAAATAAAATTAGTTGTGCATGTTTGATTATGTTTATGAAATAACGGTAAATTGGATATGACTATGTTTTTTATAAACCATGCAACTTGCTAACCCCAATTACTCAAGAAATATGTGTAATTTCAGATATTCAAGAGCTCGTTGGAGTTATCAATTCTAAGATCCATTTAAAAGAAAGCTATGGATTTTTTTTTTATAATACTTATTTAGCTACTTAATTTCTAGCTGTTAGAAAAAGAACTGCAAACTATTTAATATATTCGTTTGCTTTAACGTTTACTAAATTTTACCCCGTGCATCCGCATGAGAATTTTATCAAATTTTGTAGTGTAATTTATATTTTGTTTTTAGATATAAATTTTTTAATAAATGAAAAAATTTCATTTTTTGTTTATATAGAATTTTTATCTAGTTTTAGTATTATTATAACTAACGATTATAAAAAATAATTATAACACGTTCATTCTATTAATTGAAAAATGATAGTTATTAAAAAAAATATAATTCTAACTTATTCATTCTATTAATATGAAAAATGTGGTTATAAAAACATAATTATAACCCGTCTGTTCATATTACTATATAATTTAAATATTTATTATTTTTGAAATAATTTTTCATTTAATATCTTGCATGTTATAATAACTTAACCTGCATAAAATCACAATTATGAAAAATCTAACCTTTCCATCAAATTACCATATAATATAAATATTTATCAATTTTCAATATGTAAATTTTTTGATTAATTGATTACAATTAAAAAAATACAATAACATATTCGTTAATCATATGTGTTATTAGGAAAATATTAATTAAATTTTAAATATTAAATTAAATCCAAAATATATTTTAAAAAGTCTAAAGTAATTTAACTTAGTATCTAACTTTTTAGACTTAAATTTAATTGTATTTTTTATAATTTTTTAAAATATTAAATTAAATATAACATATATTAAGAAAATTTTTAATTATCTAAATTGATATCTAATTTTCGGAATTAGTTTATATATAAAAGAAAATATATTTTTAAAATAATATCACAACAAAATAGGATAATGTTAAAATTATTTTCAAATAATTATTTTTTAAATAAATTTGAGAATTTTTGGATGCCAGTACTAAAAGTGTTTCTGTTTTAATATAATAGATTTAAACATCCATATAAATAATACTTTCTCTATTTTATCATATAAGTTCTTTTAGCTAAAACATTAATATTAAGAAATTTACTTTTACATCTAAAATTATATTTAATATAGAAATTAAAAAATATTCAACCAATAAAAAAATTACTGCATAATATAATTGGTTGCACAATAAAGATAAAAGTTACATAAAAATTGGAGAACAACTTATATTATTAAACAAGAAAAAGTCTCCAAAACAACTTACATTATTATGACACAAGAGAGTAGTATGTTGAGAAAAAAAAAACTGTTACAATTAAAAATTAAAAATTTTGTTTCCTAAAATAATCAAATAAAGGACAAAATCGGTTAAAAAATATAATTTGTCATCGAAATAAAAGTATTATCATGATGATATCATGCCATCAAAATGGGATTTATGTTTTGACGAACAAATATTAAACTTGTGGGCAAATCGGTCACTGTAGATTTCAATTATCGCGAGCCTGACTGCAACCGTTCTTCCTCCGTCGCGTCTTTTGTTTTTTTCTCTTCACAGCAAAAACCCACCCGTACGCGTGCGCTCCACGCGCCTCCACTATCCCCAGCACCAAGCTTCCTCTTCTCTCCAATCATCAAATCGCTTTCATTCTCCATCTCCAGAGATATCATCTGCGCTTTCTGCGCCCTAGTTCATTTCATTGTCTATCAATCCCAAATCCCATTTTAGGGTTTTATCACTGAAATTGATACCTTCGAGTAGAGATTTCGCTGCCGATCTAATTGACTTGACACATCCGTAACATGTGAATTGCTGTTTACAAACAACGACAATGGTTGATAGCAGCAATAATAAGAGGAAAGAGTTCATCAGTGAAGGAGACATCGCCACTCTTTTACAGAGGTAACTTCGTTATTCGCTTTCCTTCTCTCCTCTCGGCTTTTTTTTCTCCGGTATCAATTGATTTTGTGTGAACACTGGGGATTGACCTTTTGCTGCAGATATGACACCGCGACGATACTGAAGTTGCTACAGGAAATGGCATATCACGCTAAACCCAATATGGACTGGAATGAGTTAGTGAAGAAGACTAATACTGGAATAACCAACGCTAGAGAATACCAGTTGCTGTGGCGGCATCTTGCTTATCGAGATTCTCTCCTCCCCAAGGAAAATAATGCTCAGCTTCAGGTCCGTATTGGTTTCACTCGTCTTGTACTTTGATGGGTTGTTTTTTTGTTGCTTTTCTTACCTTCTACAATGATTGTATATTCGATTGACTTCTCTGTTGATATACAGGTACATCTATATTGTTAGAAATTCAGTTTGCCATCAGATTAGGGGTTTTCTGCTGTTGTTTGCTCTTTTTTTTTAGGGTACTGTTACGGTTTCTTGTGAACTTGGTTCTGTCTGGCTGTATGGGTGGAAGACAGAGGACCTTGTTTGTTGGCTATGTTTCTTGTTATTTCACAAAGTACTCTGTTGCGTTGTTAATGACTGTTGAGAGACTGTGTTAAACTTTTGTTTCGGATTCTTACTTGTTAGAATAGGAAATAGTGTCTGATGAGTGGCTATTGCACTCATTCTTGACAGTCTAAGAATGAAACTTCTTCTTGTTTCGATTTAATTTGTTGATATTGAAACTTTTGGTGAAAAGCATTTTGGTTTAAGGTGGGATGAATTTCTGTATCATGTGATAGCTGTGCATTACAAGAGGTAGTTGTAAATTTTAACGAGCTCTTGCTTGTGCAGGATGATGATAGTGACATGGAGTGTGAATTGGAAGCTTCCCCTGAAGTCAGCGTTGATGCAGTCGCGGAAGCTGTTGCGCATGTGAAAGTAAGAAGGAAATAGAAGATTAATTTTCTGAGATTCGTCTTCCTCTCAAAATGCTTGTTCATTTTCCAGAGAAGAGCTGGTTCTATACTTTTTTTGCATCATAAGTGCTGTTTTCTCTGCGACATTTGCTCCCGAGATATCTGAGTTCCTACTGTTTATCTAGTTTCCTCGCATTCATTCGTCTGTATTATACATAATTTTCTAGATTCATATAAGTGACTCCGTAGATAGTTTTCTAGATATTCAGCAATGGTTGCTAGAATTTTTATTGAGGTGTAAAAATATTCGATATATCTATTTATGAGAGAACTAGCAGATTATGATTGCATTTTCCTTTTGTTGAATCTTTGGGTTTCCTTATCTGATAAGCTCATGAAGCGCAGTAGAAAAGTTCTGTATTACCCAGAAATTGGATTCTTCCATGGCAAGGACTAAGGAGCTTACTTATTCTTTTCTCTAACTTTTTATCAAAGTTGTGTTAGGTTGTCCCTTTGACTCTTTACTCAATCAGTATGATTAGAATCTTACTTAGTGCTTTGCATACTACCATACACTCTTTCTAATAATGAAGTGGGGGCTACTATTTTTGGGTATTGATGTCTGCTTATTCTGAGTTCCTAATGATCCAAATGCTAAGTGTCCTGTTTTTCTCTCTTTTTTAGGTGATTGCTGCTTCCTATGTTCCAAGTGAGTCCGACATTCCTGAAGACTCAATGGTTGAGGCTCCCTTGACCATTAACATACCTTATGGCCTGCATAAGGGGCCTCAGGAACCATCAGACTCGTATTGGTCGTCAAGAGGGATGAATATCACCTTTCCTGTTTCTCTTCAGAAAGCAGCTGAGGGACATAATGGAAATGGGTTAGCCAGCAGCATGGCTACTCGGAAGAGAAGAAAAAAATGGTCAGCTGAGGAGGATGAGAACCTGGTCACTGCTGTGAAACGACATGGTGAAGGCAGCTGGGCCCTTATGGCGAAGGTAGAATTTGACGGAGAGAAAACGCCCTCACAACTCTCCCAGGTTGTAATTTTATTTGGCTGATATTGTTTATCTTTGGATAATCTTCATGTACTTTGTGCATCCTCTCGTATCAGCATGCATGAGCGTTCTTAAGTAGTTAATGCATTCTTTCCTCTTTATTACCCTGTGGCATATGCATAGTGGTTCGTTAACATCACGCAGAGATCCATTTGGTACTAACAGGAGTTAGGTAAAGAAATTTGAGCTTCAAATGAAGTGAGTATGATCTAGGACTTGGAGTGTATAGTCAGTAGGCATAAGGGATGACAGTTTCCTCTGTTGATAATGTTCCCACCCCTTCTTCTTCTTTTTCAGTTAATGCCCTGTTCTTTGTATTACTACCTGCTTATGCACCATTATCTGATTTCTGTTAAGGATAATGTTGGCTTAGAAAAGAAGAACCATAGCAGACCCCTTCAAACAAACCTCGTGAGCTCTTTATATTCATACGGTTTTACACCATATATGTCACACTTTGTCTAGATGCAACTACATTAGGTGCCATCTTTCACACTTTTCTTTGTCGGATCCCTGTTCTGTTGATGGAAGGAGGTTTGTAGTAACTATTACATATCGAGAATATAGCAGAACTGTGGTCATTGGTCTAGAAATATATCCGTTGTCATCTAGTTTGGTCTGGATGTGAGTTTCCCCCCCATTTTACCCGGGTTCAAATCCCGGCAACGGATCTCCAGATGATATGGTTAATGATCTCTTGACAAGCATATAAGATAGCTGCTGAAGGAAATAATCTTCTCTGTCCACCATTTTTTTGGATATTTTCTTGTCAGATCATTTCTGATGGTTCTAGATATACTCTTTAAGAAAGATTTAAGAGGAAAAAGTTGGGTGTGCATTGTGATGCTTGCTATACAGAAAATTTCTTTCATTTTGCTGGTGGTAACAAAATGAATTTTCTTATTTGCAGCGGTGGGGGGCTATAAGGAAAAGGTGTGATACTTCAAACTCTTCTTCCCAATCTGGCCTACAGCGAACAGAAGAACAAATGGCAGCTAATCGTGCATTATCTTTGGCAGTGGGAAATCGAGTTCCCTCAAAAAAGCTTGGAGTAGGTATGAGTAACAGACGATCCTTTCCAGCTAATTCTGCTATTTATCAATTCGTCTAGGCTCTGGCTCAGTTATGCTTGCTTAAGTTGTTTTTTTCCTGCAAAGTAAAATTGTTTTAGTCCTACCGCTTTCTCTCAATTAGATTTTTATCAATTTGACTCTGTTTGTTTAGGTGTACCTCCAATGGTTTCACCCGGTAGCATATCGGGAGCTCAAGCCAATGGTGCCAACACTGGTAGTTCACTGCAAGCTCGACAACAGTCTCAGCCAGTAGTTCAAGCACTGCCCCGGGCAGCAACATCCATTCCGACTTCAAAATCTCGAGTTACTGCAAAGAAAACAACAGCAAATTCCACTTCGAGAGCGGAACTAATGGTAACAGCTAACTCAGTAGCTGCTGCAGCCTGTATGTCTGGCCTGGCAACTGCTGCATCAGTGCCAAAGGTTGAACCAGGAAAAAACGCTGTTCCTGTGTTAGTGCCAAAGGTCGAACCCGTAAAAACTGCTTCCACAGCCTCTTTGCCTCGTACATCATCAGTAATGAATGCTGAGCCTGTAAAAACCGCTTCCACTTCGGCAGCTTCTATGCCTCGTCCATCAGGTGTATCATCATCACTGAATGCTGGGCCTGGAAGAACTGCTTCGGCAGCCTCTGTGCCTCGTCCATCAGGTGTATCATCATCACTGAATGCTGGGCCTGGAAAAACTGCTTCGGCAGCCTCTGTGCCTCGTCCATCAGGTACATCAACTGAGCCTGGCAAAACAGTTTTGGCACCCTCTTTCCCTCGGCCTTCAGGTGTTATCTCAGCATCAAAGCCTGAGCCTGTTAAAGCCGCTCCAGCAGCCTCTTTGCCACGTCTGTCAGGTGTTATACCAGCACCAAAGGCTGAGCCTGTTAAAACCGCTTTGGCGCCCTCTTTGCCTCCTCCATCAGGTGTTATATCAGAACCAAAGGCTGAGCCTGTTAAAACACCTTTGGCCCCCTCTTTGCCTCGTACATCAGGTATTATATCAGCACCGAAGGCTGAGCCTGTAAAAACCGCGCCTGCGTTCTCTTCGCCTCGTCCATCAAATATTTCACCAGCACCAAAGGCTGAGCCAGCAAAGAGTGTTGCTGCCGCTACCAACACTCAAGTGTCTGGGCCTTTGAATATAAGGAATGCAGTTAATGGAAGCCCAAAGAACTTGATATCTTCATCACCTTCTAATAAGCCTTTTTCACCTATGGCTCCTTTCTCCAAAGGACCTACAATCCAGAACACTTCAGTTCCTTCTAGTTTTGCGTCGTCAAGGTTGGCCCCAACACAGAGAGTAGTTCCTGCGGCTACTGTGACTACACAAAAGCTAAGCGCGGGAACAGCAGTCACCGCCTCTTCCAAGCAGGTTGTTGTACAGAAAGAGCAAACTCAAGGAAACAAAGCAAGCCCTTTGGTTGCAACAACAACAACTCAGCCAAATAAAACCATCTCAACAAACTCAGTGACTAGTACAGGAAACCCAGTGGCTACAAAAGTGGAGACTCCTCCTTGTCTTACGCCTAAGAAAAACCAAGTACTTCAGACTGAAGTTGGCAGTAGCACCGATAAAAGTCCGTTGGCTAAACCACCTGAAAAAGAGAGTAGTGCCACGGTTTCACCTCTCGTTGTAGCCGAGTCAGAATCAAAACCCAAGGATGAAACTAGCCAAGGCAAAAGCCCGGATGTTGCAACCGTGACAGGGACCGTGGAGAAGGGGTTGTAGTTCATTTGCCTCATTGTTTTAGTGCTTTTCCATTAATGTCTTTTTTAGGACTCAAACAAGAATATGATGATGTACAGTAGTGCTTACTACTTACTACTAATTAGTATTATGAGTTTTCAATAAATATTACTTTAAAAATCTCCAAAGAGATTTTCAAAGTTTAGAAAACAGTGAAAACCAAGAAGATACAGTTTGAATTTGCAACTCATTGGTCAATAGTTTTGGTACAAGACAGAAAAGCTAGAAAACAAGGAAATAACAAAGAGATGATTGAATGATTGATTTATTCAGGGAGCTTTCCAGGTTGCCTAACGTAACTAGATTGTTTTTGCAGAGCTGGAGATGGACTGACACAAGAGAAGAGAGATGATGCAGTTTGCTTCTGTTGTCTATGCTTCTTTAACTTGACACCGAACAAGAATGACCGTAATGGAATCCTTGGTCTTCCACTCGACGAGCTCCTGCTCGGTGTTGTTCTTGCTTCTGATGCACTTGAGATCCCAAGATCATCTTCCAGTTTACTCAGAATCCTCTCCACGTCGGTTTTCAACGCTCTTACACGATCAAGACCAGATTGAAGCTCGCTTGAGACCCTTTTGTTTTCTTGCTTCATGTTAAGTATCTCTCCATGGAACTTTGCAGCTTGGTAACCACTAATCTCGGAATCACTTATTTTAGTACCACCCGACTGAGCCGTGACTCTCGCGATCTCTTCTTGGATATTAGCTAGCGATGCATACCTTCCCTGAAGCTCGTCTTTAAGAACCGCACTGTTCTCTAGCCATAGCTGGAGCTCTGTCCGAATCTCTCTAAGGTGTCTATAGATAGGCTTTGCCTCTGATGTATTATTACTACTACTTCTTGGAGATTCTTGCTGTTGCTTGCTTTCGATTCTCAGCTTCAATAGCTCTGATTTCAGATCCTGAACTGTTGTCTGGTACTTCTGTATTTGATGCACCGATGTGCTAAATCTTAACCAGAACTCGAGATTCTCTTCCAACACCGCGTCAATGTCTGCACGCACTTTGTCTCCCACAGTTGGAATATTTGTTCTCGGACTGTCATCAACGTCTGCAAATTTCACCCTAACTTCATTTGACTTTGTTCTCTTCATCTCTCCAACTTGATGATGCGGCGTAGTGGAAACAGAGAAGTTTGAAGTTGGTGAAATGCTAATGCTCACACTCTCTCGTTGTCCTTGATCCTGTTCCAACTGATTGCTTCCTTCTACTTGATGTGGAGAGTCTTTCCCATGCGTGTCGAGTTTTTGGCGTAACGAGTGAATCTCCACATCTTTGTAAGCAACAGCATTCTTGAGTTCTCTCAACTGTAATGCAAGCTCGAAGAATCCTTCTCTGTTCTTCTTCTCAACTTCACCTAACTTTCTCTTTACTTCTCTGTAATCTCTTAGTACTGATGTGTATTCATCTAACAGAACCTTCTCTCTATCCTCCATGCCATCTGGTAACAACTGCCTCCAGTTTGGTGTCTCTTCATCTTCGTCTTCTGTTACCAGCTCTTCTCCTTCTGTTCCGAAACAAGTGCTTGCTGTTTCTGATAAAGCAAACGAGTCTTTGATCTCAGGTTTCTCTTCTTGAGCTCCTTCACTCTCTTTAACTACAATGTCATCTTTCTTCTGTTCCTCCACACTACTTCTCCTTTCTGTCTCCTTTGAGATTGATTTTGAATCTTCTGATCCTGAAACAACTTGTAATTCTTGGAAAATTCCGGCTCCTTCAACATCTTCATCCATCTTCACACCTTGTAACTTCCCAGATAAATCCTCTGCAGTCCTATTGGCTTCCTTGAATTGATTCTGTAGACTCTTGTTCTGACCCTCCACCTTTTGGTATAGCTTTCTAACTTTACTCAGCTCGTCTTCAAGAATGATTATTCTCTGTTTCATATCTGTGGAATCCGAAACAAGAGAGGCCTTGTCCTCCTCTAGACCACGGATATGTTCATGTAAATCATCTGTCTCTGATCTTAATGTCTTCACAAGTGCAGTATGAGACGTAGCATCGGTCTCCAATGAAACAACCCTCTGCACAAGATCATCAATCTTCTCCGCAAGCTTCACAACAGTGAGATTCTCATTTGAATCTTCTCTCTCAGATTCATAGCTCGATTCTTGAACCACATCTTTTTCTTTTTCTGTCTTAATAACCTCACCATGATCATTAATTTCCGGTTTATTAAATCTGTTCCTCAGTGCATCAAACCTCTCTTTAGCAGTGTCGATTCTTTCCTTTTCGATTTCCGCTTCTTCAACAGATTGCTTCTGTTTCTCCTCAAGCTTAGCTAGTGTGTCTTTACAAGAGCTCAAGGCGGTGCTGGCCATCAATGTCTTAGCTTCACTATCATCAATCGCAGCACCAAGACCAAACTCATCTTGTAAGCTACAAACCCTTTTCTGCATTTCAGTTACTTCATTCTCCAAATCCCAATACCTCTCATAAGACTGTTCATACGAGCTCCTCACAAACTCTTTCTCAGTCTGCAACGCCAAGATTCCCTTCTGAAGCTTATCAATCTCCTCCAAGCCCTCTTCCTTACTCAGTCCAGAACTCACAATCGCAACTTCCCGCTTCGCTTGAGCAGAAGATACTGTCCTTTTCAGACCAGCTGGTCCTTTTCTTGACAACATCATAGACTGGCTCCTGAATTCGTTCTTTGGAATCTCAGGGACTTCAGGTATGTTGCTTCCCTTAGGAATCAGATGAAGATGCTTAGGCGGTTTCTGCGGATCTTCATTTTCATTATCATCATCATCCTCCAGAGGAAACTGAACATGTTCAGGGAAAGCTGTGGCGATTGTGCGGTTTGCGCTTTGAAGCTCTCTAGACAAATGATCATAGCGTTCAGCTAATGCACGGTATGATCGAAAAGCTTCCTCAACGAAATTAACAATCTCTGGCCTTTTACGGTAATACATCTCAGCTCTTTTGGCAAAAGTGTCTCCATCTTCATCTATGATCTTAAGAGTATACTCTACTTTCTCTTCCATATCTACAGCACCAGATAATGCTTTTGCTTAATCATCTTCATTGAATTAAGCAATGACACACATGATCAAGAACATATGTTATTAGATGAAAATGTGAATCAAGGAAAATGAAACATACCCTGAAGATTGTGCTCGAGCCATTTTGATTGCTTCGTACGGATGTGGCTAGCCCACCACCATGAATAAGCATTGCTCGCTGCTCTCTGCAACATCTTTTTTTGTCCTTAGGAAGAAGAAGGAGAAGAAGGCTCAAACATGACCAATTCATCAATGTGATGTGTGTAAATTTTAGAACTTTGAGACTTTCAGGATCAGACAAAGAAGAAAGAAGTAGTCTTTGTCCATGTGTAATGGACATGTCCGAGTATTTTGGTTAATCCTTTGATTAACCTCATTTTTAGGATGTCTCATTTGACAAATAACAAAAAAGATAAGACCAATGAAATTGAAAATATTTCACATTTCTTTCTTATCTGCATTGCTCTTTCTGTTTTTCTCTTCATTCTTATCATTTAATTATAACTGTTTTTGCACCCAATGTATCAAATACTAATTTTGGCATATCCTTTACTTCATTTTTTGTATACAAAACATTCCAAAATATGTTCCATTTTTTCTGTTGTGTCCAAAAACAGACATTACAAAAAGCAACAACAAGAACTAGAAGTTCAAGGTTATACAATTGGTTAAGTTGAGTCAAAATAACAATGTTGCTGAGGTTAATTCAGTAGAAATTTCTTAGCTTTATCCTTCTCTTAAACTTAATCTCTTTCTTCTTGTACGTTGTGTGGACTCTAGTTTCATTCTCTTCTCTTCGTCTAAGCATGCCTCTAGTCTTCACTACCACAACTCTTGGAACCAAACACTCATCATCATCATCATCATCCATTCTTGATTTCCCACATTTCTTGTCTGTTTCTCAGTACTAGCTCTTAAACTGTCAACAACATTATCCAAGATCACACTTTTGAAGCATGGAGTCAGAGGAAATAAACGGAAAATTTTGAAGCTGCTAATTCAGTAGACATTCCTCTCTCCTGAATTGCTTCTTCTTCTCTGCTTCTTCATCGTGATTATCTTCCCAGTTATACGGAAACCCTAAGAGAAATCGATTGCAAACTTCAGAGGAGAATCCGTTCTGTAAAGTACGAGATCGATTGATGAATCCACTGATACAAACTGTAAGCCCATCAAACGTCTCGAGCGTGATACTATCATGTCTTCTCGAGATTGCTCCTGATGAAAATAGCCTCGCTTCAGATCCACCTTTCAATTCGAATCCTGTAACACACAAACCCTTTTGGTTTGTCTTCTTCGTCAGCCACCAATCGGATAACGAGACTGATTTTAGCTTTCCGGCGATGGGAGTGACGGCACCGAAGGAAAATGGCGTTCGAGAAATCTCGTTGGTTCTGGGAGAGGAATTTAGTTTCGGGACAAATCTTGAGGAAGTACGCGGCGAGGAAATAGGTTCAGGCATAGCACCGGAGCGAGTACGCGGCGAGGAACGGCGTGCTGAGAGGGACTGGGATTTTGACTTCGTCATCACCACAACGTTTCTATGGTCTCACTGAGAAATTGTTTTCTTTCAGTGGTGATAGTTGAAGAGATTAGAGTGAGCGAAAAGTGCCATATAACGCTTTTTAAAAGTGTGCTCAAAAGTCATGAGCGCGAGGCCAATATGCCACGCTCTCGAAAAAAAAAAGCCAAAATGCCATGTATTAAATTTGTAATTTAATTTTGATTTTTTTTTAATAAGAAAAAACTTGGAGAATACTACCCTCTTCTTATTTGTCTCTTTATTTACACTAAAACCAGGATCAAACCCATTCAAACCCAATGACCCATGGATATCCATCCAACCTCCTTAGATATTTTCATTTATTAATTTATCCTTCTTTTTTTGTTAATTCAAAATCGATTATCCCCAAATAATTACACAAATTACATTTTAAATTTACAATTAAAAAAATCTATACCTTCAACTCTCATCCATGAAGCATTTTGGCGCAAAGGGGAATTATACAAAGACGAATGTGCTGTTGTTTCACCAACGAAGAGCATTTGGAAGTGAAACTATTCTGGGTTTTGAAATTAAGGTTTGCCAGAAATCCAGCCACGAGGGAAGTGATTTCGACTTTTGAATGAAGGAAAATTGATGAAGCATTGTTCTATATATATACATGAATTTTGGATTTGCAGAGACTAATTTAATAGCTTTGTTTTGGATTTGAAGAAAGCTTGTGTCCCTGAACTTGGTCTGGTTTTCATCTCAACAAAAAATTGGGATTTTGCGCATGAGGTAATCTCGCCGTTGTAACAATTGAGTATCAATTAGATTTGCACCTGATGATCCCCTTCTTTGCTTCGCGGCGTCTAGCTTTCCAGGATCTATCTCCGGTTCGAAGGTCTTTGAACGTCTTTGAACGGCACAGCTCCTTAATTACACCACCGCCAAACAAGCTCTGATGACGTTTTCGAGCTTACACTTGATGCGTTCATGTCTCGGCCAGAGACGTCGGATCCAGAGAAACCGTCGGTGAGATTCTCTTTTTCTGGATAGGATTTGCCGTTGGTAAATTGGATCGAGTGGGTAAATGCGATGGCTGAGTCCAACGCAGTGGTGTGGCAGAAATCCAGCGTTCCAGCGTCTACGACGCGATCATGGCTTTGGTGGAGAGATGGTGCATCAAGACTAACTCGTTTGTGTTCCCTTGAGGCTTAAGTTCTATAAAACGAGAAGCTAATCTGTGTTTTTTTCAGCTTACATTCTTCACAAAAAGAGAAATCGATTCTATGGAGGAACTTGTTGTCTTGTTGAATATTAGAGATAAAGAATCGAATTTGTTGTCTTGTTGAATATTTGTTATGTCTTGTCTTTGAAGTCAGAGAAGTTTGATGAACTAATAGCTGCAGCCAATGAAGAAAAAGAAGTTGCAAAAGCTCAGGTGTAGAGCTGAACATAGAAGTTTCATGATCTGACTTCTATGGTACAACTAAGTACAACTATGGACAACTAAGTATAATTATAGTACAATTAAATACAATTATGGACAACTAAGTACAACTATGTACAACTAATACTAAGTACAATTTGGTAACTGTAAAATTATAATTAAAATTAATTAAAAATTAATTAAAAAAACATGTGTGCCGACAAAAAAAGAACATATGCACTTTGTAACATGTGCACCGTCAATTTTGTACATAGTTATACCCAATTGTCCAGTTGTCCAAAATTCTTCATAGTTGTCCTTTCGTGATTTTAGAATTTTTTTAGTTGTCCCTTAATATAAATTATTATTTTGGTAACCCAATTTTATGTGACGATTGGGTATTTTCATGGATAATTTCTTAAATATAATCGTTGATTCGTAGTGATTCTTAGGTAAATTATAATTATACCTGATTTCATCACCAAATCTGCAGAGGAGGACAACTGGTATGAATAGTACAACTAAGAGATAAGAGGACAACTAGTACAACTGATACAACTATGAGATAGAGGACAACTAGTACAAATGGATATAACTAAGACGACACCTTGAATAATTGTTAATTAAGAATTGTTTTACTATATTTTCAAGAGATAATGAGCATCAGCCACACAAGCAATTCAATAGATTTTATATCATTTAATACCTCATATTTGGAGCAGATAACTTATTCGGTATTACTAGATAAGATACTGTATGTAAGAAGATTGCGATATATGAAACTAAACAGTTTTGGAGTAGATAATTTATGTGGAGAATGAATTGCACACATAAATGTAACTAAGTGAAGTATTTCAGATAATATACAAGAATTTTTTTGTCATACTGCCGAATTACACCAAAAAAATTAAAAAAGTGGTTTCTATTCTCCAAAAAACGTCGCCGAAAGACAAAAATGGATAATAAATTAGATAAGTGGTTTCAGAGCAAAAATAGCATAGAAACTTAATTTGTGTAAGTTTTCGAGTTTATTTTATCCGAAAAGATTTTATTTTAGCTAAGGAAATACATTTTAGCCGAGGAATTTTCATTCTCGATAGCCTTAGACTGTATAGGAGTATTTTGGAGTTATTTGTATTTTGGATTTCTTTGATTTATTGCATTACTATTTATTTTGGAGTTATTGGTGTTTTGAATTTCTTTGATTTCTTTCATTACTATTTATTTTGGAGTTATTTGTATTTTGAATTTCTCCAGGACAACTAGGTGCAACTCAGGACAACTATATTTTAATTGTAGTGTTAAAAAATAAATTCCTAATATTATTTACTTAAAAGCCAATATAACTCATACCCTAAAAACTGTATCTTTTCACGTATGTACTAGAAATAATAAAATAAAACTTTGTTTTGTTCAAAGAACCAAATATTTTTGGTTTCACTTGAAACAGCCCTTATGTTATAAGGAAGTCTTTGGCAATGTTATCCATCTTATGCAAGCGTCTATGCAAAAATATAGGAAATAGAAAAATAATAACGCAAAATCTTTGGGGCTGCTATATAATGATCGAAATTCTTGTGGACAACTAGAACATAATAATTTATGTCGAAGGACAACTGAAAAAACTACAGAATCAATCAAAGGACAACTATTACAAATTTTGGACAACTAGACAACTAGGTACAACTATGTTGTCAGTTGTAGACGCACGTGCGCCGACAAAAAGAGACATGTGCGCAGTCAAAGTACCACGTGCGCCGTCAATTTTGTATATAGTTGTATCCAGTTGTCCAGTTGTCCAGTTGTCCAAAATTCTTCATAGTTGTCCTTTGGGGATTTTAGCAATTTTTCCAGTTGTCCCTTGATATAAATTATTACTTTGTAGTTGTCCACATAATTTTCGACTATTGTAGTCCATTTACAACATTTTCATATTATAATTGATGCAAAATTATATTTTTGGCTCTTTTCCATCATAAGATTGTTAACATTATCAATTCTTTGTATCATAAAGAGTGTTTGACAATGTTATCAATCTTATGCAAGCGTCTATGCAAAAATATAAAAATAGAAAAATAATAACGTAAAACCCTTGGGGCTGTTATATAATGTTCGAAATTCTTGTGCACAGCTAGAATATAATAATTTCTGTCGAAGGACAACTGAAAAAACTACAAAATCGATGAAAGGACAACTATTACAAATTTTGGACAACTGGACAACTAGGTACAACTATGTTGTCTGTTGTAGACGCACGTGTGAAATACAACTGGTACAACTGATATAATTATGTAATTTAAAATTATAATTAAAATCTATTAAAATTAATAAAAATACACATGTGCGTCGACAAAAAAGAACATGTGCGCAGTCAAAGTACCACGTGTGCCGTCAATTTTGTACATAGTTGTACAAAGTACCACGACTTTTCTACATTTCTTTAAGTGGATGTTTGCTTTTTATATTTATAGTTTTATCATTATTATTTTCTAATGAAAGAATTACATATAGTTGTATATATGTGTCTAGTTATACCTTGTTTATTTCCATCCGGAAAGCATTTTCGGCCAAAAATGAAATCCTCTAGACTAGATTAACTTTCCTAAGTGTCTAGTTATCCGTCAAGGTAACATGTGCACCTATGTGCATTGTCAATTTTTGTACATAGTTGTACATAATTGTACATAATTGTACATAATTGTACTAGTTGTCCCTCTCTGCAGATTTGCTGATGAACTCAGATATAATTATAATTTACCTAAGAACCACTATGATTCAACAACTATATTAAAAAAATTATCCATGCTAATCGTCAGATAAAACGGGGTTACCAACCCGATTCACAATTATAATAAAAGAATTTTCAATCAACAATTATTTAGGTTGTCTTAGTTATACCTATTGTACCAGTTGTCCTCTATCTCATAGTTGTACCAGTTGTACTAATTGTCCTCTTATCTCTTAGTTGTACAATTTGTACCAGTTGTCATTTTTCTGCAGATTTGGTGATGAACTCGGATTCTAATTATAATCTACCTAAGAATCACCATGATTTAACAACTGAATTCGAAAAATTATCTATGCAAAGACCTAATCATCACATACCAATCCGATTTGCATATAGAAGAACAAACAATTTTGGCAAATCAAATCCCTAAATTTTGAAATCCCCAAATCTGTAAATAAAAACCTAACTATATTTTAAAACTTCAACAATGGTGGTGGAGAAAGGAGATAAAATAAGAAACTGATTGCAGAAGATGAAGAAGAAAAGGAAGAGGCGAGGATTCAACGGCGAAAATGAGATTTGCTTGTTTTCAGAATCCACCGACGAAGAAGAAGAAGAACATGAAAAACAAATTATTTTTTTTAATTAATTTTCGTTTTAAATTATTAATTTTAATAAAATCAATTATTTTTTCACCAAATTCAAAAATGCCACAAAAACTTTCATTAAGGGTAAATTGAGAATTCTATATATATTATGGCATGTAGACTTGTTTATGGCACAGCAGATTATTTTTTTTCAATTTGTGGCATTACAGCCATTAAACCAAAAGTCATTTACCTAATAATTATTTTCTTTTTTATTTTCTTTTACTAATTTAAATCTTGGATATTCTTCTTCTTTTCTTCTTCTAAGTCG